CGTGACTTTCTAATGTCACACGCGTCAAAGTATATAATTTCTGGCACGCTAATAACTGGTTGTAGCACGATCGTAAAATGTAGAAAAGAGAGCTTCTAAAGGGAAAGGTTTCAAGGGACTCGCGCGAACGAGTAAATATATCTAGAAAGCAGCTGCTTTCCCGAAAAGTCAGCTGTTTCCTGACATTCGTATCGGTTCGTAGCACATGCTGATTACAGTACGATAGCGAAAATATTGAGTGAGCCTAGATAAAGTCTGCCATCGATTTCAAAAATATGTCGCCAAGTCATCTTGCATAAAACAAATTAATCAACATTTCACGACAATTTTCATTCGTAAAAAATAAATCCATTCCTCGTTTTCGCTAGAAAGAAATAAAAGTACAAAATAAAAAAAAAAGAGATAAATTAGTCATCGAAACTGACACTTTGAGCAATGATGAGAAAAGTATGCTCTTTCAGAAGAAGCTAATAGATACATGTGACGCAAAATTGATAGACAATTTTCATATTTGAAAAATAATATCTATCCGTGATTTTTCACAGTTTATTTCCCGTTACTTTTTACGGAATTTTCTTCGATAATTTGACGGTCGATTGAGAACCGCTGCCCTTTATACCCGTTTGCCCGGAACGAAACGGAATGTAACCGACCAGAGAAAATACGTAGGGTATGTCCGTTGCGTGTAACGTCTCTTGGATCCGGAGCAGGTGCCCCTCGCTGCACGACCGGGACTCAGGGCCGTAAGCCATTCTTCCAATGGTGGCAAAAAGTCATTATGCGTATCATAATTTAACGCTCGGGAAATCGTGGATAATTTTTTTTGACATTTTTCCTTTTTTTACAACTATAATCATGTTTATCCTAGGACATCATATAGTCGAATATCTTCTTAGAAAAAAACATCTTTAATCAGAAATAACATTTCTCTTCCTTCTCTCTCTCTTGAAGAACGAAAAATTTTAATTGATGTATAATTAATTTTTGACAAAAATTTCTTATATATATTTCATATATATATTTCTAACAATAAGATATATTTTTAGTTTTTCTTTTATCATCAAACCTGTTTATTTAGAATTTATCTAATTTGTAGAAAAGATATTAAAAAATAAATAGTCACATTTAAAACATCGTTCATTTTTATATAAAATTTATTATTATAAAATTTGAAATTATCCATTCTAATTTTATTCTAGCCTTCTTAACACAGTCAGATTTATGCGGGATTTTAAAACTTATTGATAAAAATTGTGAATAAATTGTAAAATTCCAAATTTTAGTTAACAGGTTTATGAAAGAAAAAAAATCATAAAGTAGAAATCTCTTTTCGTTCGGAGAAAGTACACGGAATAAGAACTCCACTAAATTCACCGACGTTCTTAATACGGATACTAGCGAATATTGAGATTCGTCGCCGAATGCAATTGCGATATCGATAGAATTTATGTGGCGACTTTCAAAATATCCGCCAATTTACGAGGAAAGTTCGAACTTCCACAAAGTAGAGACTGAGAAGTAGACTTTACGTGCGTGAATTATCTTTTAGAGAGTGATCGGCTTTTGCAGAGGATCCTAAACACACAAATATCTTGTCAGTTAAAAAAAAAATTCTTTCCGAATAACTAAAACATCAAAAATTCCAGACAATTCTTTTTACTTTCACGAATCCATAGATTCATAGAAAAGTCTTTAGAAAATTTTCTTTAGGGATTTTTAAAGTTTTCTTTCGAAAGCTTCTGTTATTCATTGTATCTTTTTCTTTAAATGAATAAACGAACAGGTAACAGGTACAAGAAAACAGAAGGAAGATTGATTTGCTCAAAAAATGCTTAAGTGGTCTTTGTCTGTTCCTTCGTCTTCTTTTATTTATTTTGATTGGATTGACCTTCAAAGATTATAGTTAGACATATCCATTTTACATTCATTTTTCTTAAATTTTTTTCTTATTTTTTTATAATTTATATTATTTAAAATAATGCATGAAGGAACTGTGTGATATTGTGTGATACAATTGTAAAACATATTATGTGTATTGTAAAATATATTAACATTTCCGAGAACAATTGTCCGAAAAATAATTTGTTTAAATATTATAACGATATGTACACATGTTCCAAGCACGTGCAACGCGAAAAGGTATGTCATCGTGATACGGTTGTCGAGAACATTGAGTCTTGAGTAATAACTACGGTCGCATCTCTATGACACAGTTAATACCGTCTTCCATGCATGCCAATGAAAGAGACTCGTAATTACACGTGCAATGCTCGCAACGAAATGAAAAGGTCTGCGTCTGCACTCGCAAACGTGTTTAACGGTTAGAATGTTTTCATCTGTCTTCAAGATTCCTGACATTAGTTGGGGGAATGATTGGAAAGTCGAGCGCGTGACGAAAGTTAATGACAGCTTGTCTACCTGTCACGCAAATTTGGATTTTTTAAGGCACATAGGACTTTCGAAAGCGAAAAGTTTCTTGTAACATAATAACCGAAATAAACCCAAAATAATCAAATGCTTAAAACGCTTATATCTTATTTTTCAAGGTTAAAATTTTTTTTTTCTTTTTTTAACGTATATTTTCTATAAATCTCAATAAAATAATAAAGTAATGTATAAAGTGAATAAATTAAATAATATACGCGTCTTATTAGATTAATGTCTAATAAACGTATCTATACAAAAACCGCACGAATCTTTTAATGCCTCTGTCGAATAAAAAGATGTCATTCGTCCTTGCCTTTTTGCCGTCTGACTTTTACCGGATATTTTCGCTGCCGATTTGTTTAGGACTGTGTTATACGGATTTTCATCACCGTATAATTGATTTGTCTCATTTCATATGATACTTTTCGCAATTGCTACGAGATAAGCCATGTGTCAAATCAGTAGAAAAAAGAAGCTCGACTATTTATCTCTCCTCCCCCTTCTTCCTTCCCGACTTCCGCAGGGTTGTTTTCTCATGGATGTCAACATCGTGAAATATTCTCCCTTCTGCATGGTAATCTACCTACCTTTGATATTTTCTTACTACGTGACATAATGCTAAAAGTCGTATAAATGTACGAGAGTTGAAAAAAAATCGTGCGAAAAACTTTTTATTTCTAATAAAAATTTGCTGCGTGTGACGTAATGGATTTCGCATATTGTGATATATTACGGTAGGGTAGTTTTTTTTTTTTTTTTCGAGTAAATGTGGATACATTGCGCAGGACAAGTTTTAACATCGCAATACTTTTCTACGAGAGAGAATGCATGTAATTTCTAGCAAAAACTTTCTACACATGGTAATATTTATGTAAGAAATTATTGCAAAATATTTCTCTCAGCTCATTCTTGATGTGACACAAGATGACTCTGTAGTATTTTACGTATTTCCCGATTTCACATAATGGTACTTAAACTTCATTACCTTTTAATTGTACTTTTTTATTATATATTTATTATATTTTTTTCTCCCGCAAATAATGACATTTTTACGATTAGCACGATAAGAAAAGTGACGCAAAAGATATATAGCCTCGAGATATACGTAAGGTAGGTTGAATTACATGCGATGTGTGTATAGACGTATTACATACAAGCACATAAACGTCGTTACGGATATTATGTCCAATGAAAGGCAAGCAAAACCGCGATCTCCACACAGACGGAAAAACCGCGGCATGCAGAAAATTTTCCCACGGATGTAAAACATTCCCTCTCTCGCAATGACCGGCATACTTTTCCTCATTATCTCTCATCCTCACCTGGCGTCCATACCCTCAGGTTTCCCATGCTTTTTTCGTTTTTTATTCTATACATATGTGCTGAAAAATAAATATACATATGCGCGATATGAATGAAGCATCGGTCTTATTACGAGAAAACTTGGGCGTTATGAATATTTTAATGTATAATTTAATTTTTACTTGATATAAATTCAATGACCGCGATACTATTTAGGATAATGATTAAAAATTTCCGTACTATACGAATGTGCTTAGAATACGAGTGGAAAAATTCATATCTTCAAAAATTAGGCGTAAGATAAAAAAATAATTACGATTATGTAAGATTATTTCAGTTTTCAGCCATTAACAAGTTAATCAATATTGTAATAAATTTTTGAATAATATTTTGTAAAAAAAGTCTATAAAGAAATAATTGAATAGCTAGAGAGACTAAAGGTTTCTATTTGAAAAATAAGATATTGTATGAATTTGATTGCGTGGAATGATCGACTCAACTCAAAGGGAGGAAATTTAATAGCTCTGTGGAATAGTATGATACGCATCACGTTTTATTATCGTAATAGATAGGGGGTTTTATTGATTCGTCGCAAACTATAGTGTATCATAGGTTGTGGGACGGATGTGAAACCTGTGTTCGCTTGTAATTGGTTGGTTACAGTTTTATGTTCGATTGTCCAACTGTGCGGCGTCAGTTTTGCATTATTTATCGCGAAACTTCGCGCAAAATGCACTCGTAATACATATCCCTCGATAAAATGTAAATGTTGATTCTACCCCACTTATTAGCCAGCCCCTCTATGTCAAGAGACAATCAAAAATTATTCTCTTACCGAGAATCTCCCTCCCACATTTACACGTCACATACACGTAATAATTTTCCACGACAATCGAACAAAAATATGCATACATTCTTCTAATTCTTTCGTCGAGGTCGGTACACGCAATTTTATTCCATCGTCAGTTTCCGATAGGCCGTTACCCGAAATTCGCAGATGAAGATCAAGGTTATCGTCCGGAGCCGTCTCGCGTAGTCGTCCCGTGCCCGATCGATCGTCCCTTTAGACACAAACTTCTTTCGATCCGGCCACCCGTTATGACGCCAACGGGCGCCGCGTCGCGTCGCGTCGGGTTGATGCCGCGCGACGAGAGGGTGTTGCGCGCCGTCCGGGAGGGCGACCGGGAGAGGGAGGGGGAACACCGCCGGCGATGGCGGTGGTGGCGGCATCGGCATCGGCGTCGGCGTCGGCGTCGGCTAACGATAATGGTTGGTGGGGTGGTGGACGCTCGAGAGCTACCCCCACCACTCGCGTAGCGTCTCGACGCCGCGTTTCGGTCTCCCGAGTCTGATCTCAGTTACCAACAGACCGCGCGATCGCTCGCATCGCCGACGCGAAGCGAGAGGGGAGAGAGAAAGAACGAACGAACGAACGAATGAAAGGAGAGTGAGAGAGTGAGAGAGAGAGAGAGAGAGAGAGAGAGAAAGGAGTGCTCGAGAGTGCATACGCGCGAAGGGAGCGAAAAAGAAGGATTAAAATAATACGAGGGAAAGAGGGAGGAAGAGAGAGAGAGAAACAGGGAGAGGAGAAGAGTGAACTATGTTACAAGTCGTCGTCGTCGTGCCGCTCGGTCTCGCCTGAACAAAGGAAGATTCTTCTCCCTCGGCTCGCCGCGTCGAGGGTCGTTTCCGATCGACGAACCGTCGGGATCCTTCCTCGGGTGTCTTCGGTGCGGTTCGTGCGCCTCGAGCGCACACGAAGCGGTCAGTCACGTAGCAGCGGCCGAGGCGTGAGGAACAAAGGACGGCGGCAGGATCTGCGCGAGAGAGAGACGGGAAGACGGCGAGGGAGCAACGCTTTACGATCGCGCACGACAATATTGTTGATATTCGCAAAGCGCTGGAAGCACGATCGCTAGGATCAGGATCGTCGGGACCGAGACTCTTCGCTCCGAAACAACGCGAGTCGCACACCGGTATATTTTGAAAGAAAGAGAGAAGACGCGCCCTCCCCACGAGTTTTGTGGCAGAGAGAGAGAGAGAGAGAGTGTGTGAGAGGGACTTGCGACGCGTCTCTTCGAGTTCGTCGAATTGTGCATTGTGTTTTGCTTTTTTTTTATACTTTTCTATCCGGACGATTTTTCTCCCAGTGCGACGAGCCAAGATTAATAGAGAGGAAGAAAGGAAGAAGCGGTAACGTACCTGTCGGACATTCTCCGTATCAAAGAACGTGATTTGTGAGTGAAAGAGGGAGAAGGAGAGCTGGAACCCGAATTTTCTGGAGGTATATGTGTCTGTACCTGCTTGCCTACCTGCGTAACGAACCGGCGACCTAACCTTAACGGCAACGACGGTCGAACCAAGTGCGCGCGAGAAGAATTGAAGGAATCTCGTTGTGTGCTAAAGGAAGAGAGGGAAGGCGAGGAGGAGGAGGCGAAAAGAGACCGAAAGTGAAAAGATAACCGGCCTTCCTTCGGATTCTCTCCGCCGTCTGTTTAACGACGTCGTTGGTTTTCATGTGTGACATGTGCCACAGAGTGTACGACGTCTGAAAGAGAGGACTCCGGAAGCGCAATACCTTATTCGGCAGCACACGGATTATCCTCGTATTTACGGTGAGTCTTTTTTTTTTTTCTTCCAGTCGCGATAAAACCGCGGGCTCTCTCTCTTCTTTCCCTGCCCTCTTCCCCCCTCCAGACGTGCGCTGGGAACGACTTCCGGTTTCGGGGGAGAGAACATTCCCGGAATGCGTTTCAGAATGTGCACTCCACGGTGCGTCCCATTGTTGACCGGAAACGGTCGATAGCTTTCTTTACAAATCCTCTTAGTCGTCCTTTTCTCGACGATAAATTTCTTTCTTCGTACATAATAAAGAAAAAAAAAATGGTTGCGAGGAATGTTTTGGGATCGCAAAGGGAGGGCTAAACTGTATGATTAAATTTTTTTTAATTTTCTCAGTCGAAAAAAAACTGTAGATCGATAACAGACAGAGGTAACGCAAAATATTATTGATGATAAAATATTTATATTGAATATTTCGGTCACATTTTCATGGCTTTGTGTTTTTTCCTGAAGACGTGGTCGAAACATTTAATATATATTTCGATGTTAATTATGAAAGATTGCACTCTCTCTACAATTATTGTCCTCGCGATTTATCGTATATATATATATATGAGAAAAATTTCTACTATTTCCAACTTAAAATCTGGACAGTTTAATGAAAATTTTATTCGAGAGGCATAGTCGGCGAGATAATTGATATCGAAACAATCCGTAGAGATATACGACTTGCGCAATTTTATAAACACAATCTCCGTATTGAAATGATAGAATTACAATTATACGTCACGCTGTGTGTGTGTCATCTACACCAGCATTCGCTTAAATCAATCTCGCATCGCGTCAAGTTCTATTTCCTCCCACGCATTAACATCTCGGCGTGTTTGATTGAATCTCGCTTTCTCACTCCGGGCGACTTTTCAATGACGAAATTCCACGGCGGCGTCGCTTTTGATCGTTAGAGAATTCCCGGGAACAATGACACGCTCGAATCCTTCTCTTCTCCCTTCGTCCCTTAGGACCGTAATCACGTTTTTCCATGCGGAGCGTGGCCCTGAAAGGCATTCCACGAAGCTTCAGAATAACGTTGTTCGTGTTTAGTGTTCGACGAGCAAGGTTTTCGGTGACGTTTGTATATCGTGCTCCGATTTATTGTTCTTTCGGTAGTAAACAGGAACGTTTACGCGATCGGTGGCGTGAGATCGTCGTTTCCTCGACGAACGTAACGTCGCCGGTATTCGCGATCGTAAATCAGCGATTCGGGAAATTGTTTCCCTCGTGAGCGACCCCCGGCAACAGATGCTCGAAAGTCGTTTCGATGAACATTTCGCGCTAGGATTCAAATGGATTAAAATAGAGTTAATATCGATAACAACATCGTCACACGTTCGAAATTATTTTATAATTATCTTCAATTATTTTTTGAATGTTTTATTAGCAAGATATAATATAAAGAATATTATAAAAAAATAATATAGAGAATATTTGGTTGATAGAGACATATCATTCGGTATAATATAAATATTAAGGTTGTCGTACGCTTTTTGGACTAATGGAATTAACTCCGGAATAGGACGGTTACATTTAACCCTAAATATACGATGAGGGTTTGGGGTCTTTGCGAATCGCCGCATTGCGTCACGACGAAGTTAACCGCGTTTGTCGGCGGACGCGTTCACAGAGAGCACTATAGAAAGGTTAATTAGACAGCCGTTCGAAAGTTATGTCTTCCGTGCATCGTCTCTTCGTTGACAGCAATTAATTATTCAAAAGCACAGGTCATGCTACACAATGTTTTGAAATTGCTCTTTCCGGCAGTTTGTTCTGTCATCTGTCAATGACGGTGAAAAGATATTACGCAAGATGCTGCCGAAGAAAGCAGCGAAGCCATTTTCCTTTACGTAATCCGTCAAGCGTATACGTGTATGTGTGTGGAAAGGAAATAAAATGTAAAAAGATATTTGAAATATATTTTTGAGAATTCTCATAGAAATAAACTACATTTTTTTTTGTTTTTTTTTCCGCTGTAAAAATAGAGGCAGATGTATGTATATATTGTAAAAAATTTTTTCAAAATTCTCCTAGTCGGCTGTTGACAAGGCAAAATAATAAAACGTGGAAAAATAGGAGAACGACGAAAAATAGGAGAAGGAGGAAACATTGATTTCCATCGATGTTGGTGGAAAAAGGGAGGACACAATGCACAGAACGCCGGAAAGAAAAAAAAAGAAAAAGAGACGGAGATATGTGGAGGAACATCAATTTTCTGTAGGATAAGCGAGTAATTAAAATTCTGTCTCGCACGTCGGCATCGGAAATCAAATCTATCCGCCGTTTAAAAGTTGCGTGATATGCTGTGTTTTCATTTTCATTTTCTGCTGGTTTCCGGTTTAGAGATAACGCGAGGAAACTTCAATATCGAAAAACAGGAGACGAATACGATCGTAACGCACATTGATGATTTATTTTGACAATTAAAATTACATTATTTTAATTCGGAGTTTTTGACCCACCTTTAATTAAAACTAATTACATCTAAAAATGTACTTTTCAAATAAATATTTTAGTTTGTAATGTTCTAGTTTTCACAAGAAAATCCGATATTGGAAATATTGAAAGTTCGAAAATTTTAGTAAGTTATAAAGTGCAAAAGCTATTTTATTTTACATAGGAAATGCGGGGCTATCGCGTTTATTGATAATACAATTTATACAATATATTAAGGTACAAAAATTTAATAAAATTGCAAATGTACATTATTTTGACAATATTAGTAATACGATAAATTTATTGTTTGTTACAATAATTAATATTCTTTTTAACTTAAAATAGTTGAAAATCCAATTTTCAATTATGAATCGAGTTTTATTATCATTGACACTTTTTGTCGAGTACACAAAGAATTTACGTGAATTCCCTGCAGCGCTCGCATGGAGAAAAATTGACAATCTAGCCAAATATCCAAAAATAAAATCCCTAAAACATACAACAATTTATTTACGCTATTATACTATGCCGATTAACGTGCTATAAAACACAATTTCGTGCTATTGTGTAAAACTTGTGACGCATAAAATAGAAAGTTTTTATCGTAAAATTTTATTTTCTCTGAACGTTTGGATTAACGATTTTCCATATGTACGACAAAATAGAAACTAATGGTCTATGTAAACGAAAATAAACGATAGTTAATGATATTTTGATGATGATTTTTTAAACTTATTGCTAACAGAATTCTTTGCATGCTAACAAGATGATTCAAACGATTCATGCTTGTTCTTATCTAGAAATATTTCGTCGTCATCAAACACAGGCATTTCATTTCTACCAATCATGACATCACTTTCTATAAAACGTTATAGAGAGTGATTCAAAATCATTATTTCTCTTTTAACTTTTAAGCATAATAGAAGTTATTTAATAGAAGTTATTTATATAGAAGTTATTTATATAGAAGTTATTTATATAGAAGTTATTATAATAGAAGTTATTTGTTTCTTTGTGTGACTTTTTAGATTCACACGTCCAATAAATATCAATAGTATCCTACGATGTAATATTAGTAGTTTGATTTAAATTATAGACAAGATAGATCGTATACATTTAACCTTCATATTTAAAGTTTTTACTATTTTTAACAAAAACAAAATTGCTTGATACAAAGGAGAAACATGAGGATAATATAATAAATATTTTTGTGTTTGAAATATTTTCTTAGAGAATGTGAAAATTATCTCTTCTGTTAGGTTCAAATGATAACTTTATCATTTTCTCTACAGACGTTTCAACTGTTATGTTTCATACTGTTATATATATTTGTTAAATGTGGCTTAAAGCTATGTAGTAGACTACATTTAAATTATATAAGACAATAAAATCGAGCGAAATTGCATGAATTTTAAATTGCACAATAGTTTGTTTTTATATTTGCATTTATATATATAATTTGTCTATATATTTTACTTTATAAAATTGTAATCAAGGCCGATAAGAACGAGAAACGATGAGTGTTAGTACAATTACTTAATTTCGAGTCTAGTATTTTGAACGATCAAATTCAACGAAGGTCCTCGAGCTTTTTATTTATTTCTCTCTCCTGCGGGAGGCCTCTTTTTCTGAACCTGACTCTCGAACGCGACCGTGTTTAGGTCGCAGCGGGTTCACGCAGGCGTTAATATTTGCACCGCGATAAAGCCGACGCATAAATATCCACGTCCTCCTCGGTATTAAAGTGTCATTGCGATTAATGCGTCATCGCCGGTGTACGAGCGAAACCGCGCGTAATCGTTTTCCGTTACATTAAAGTTTCAGCGAAGCACGTCGAATGAGGAAATTCCACGTGACCCCTATGGAAACGTCGCCGTAGCGGAAAATGTAGAATCGGGTCGCATTTTTTTTTTTCCATAAAAACTCGGTTAGGTTCGAGAAAGAGGCGCGAAAGGAAGATATCTGAAAATTTACTCGGATTGCGCGAGCTGACGTTCCAAAATTCCGTAACAAAGAATAAACAAGAACGATTGAATAAAGAAGAGGTTGCGAAAGCAATGAAAACAAACTCAGAGAAGATTACTTAAGGTTCTGCTTACCGTACTCTATGGACATAACGCTTCTTACATGCAAATTATGTGGTCGATGACTTAACGATCAGGGATTATATCATTTGCGGCATTGAAATCGAAATTGTTTAAATATAAGGTTATATTTTCGTAGCGTCGCGTGTCGCATAAATTATATTAGCCTAAATAATACATCGCGCTCGCGTGTAGGAATGTTTTCAATTAATCTATCAAATATCGAAGGTAAAACGTGGCAAATATACAAATCCGTAGCTTGTTTATGTCTCCTCGGTGTTTCGCACATTGATCATCAGTTTACATTTGTAATGATCGGTTCGAAAGTGAATAGTTGTGATAATTAGTTTTTCATTTGGCACAAACCCGAGTCACCTAATTGCTCATCGATTGGCTTTATCTCGCGGGGACAGCTGTTTAAATCAGCCACAATGTATATATGCCGTCTGGTGTTGGTTTGGCAATACCTCTTTTTTCCTTGA